CAGACGTAGCCCTTGTTTTTACCGATAATATCGATGTCGTCGGCATAGGGCTTAACTACCACTACCTAAAAATACAAAGTTCACTTTTTGATTGATTATGATGCATTTCATCGAATCATAAGTCCCCACATCGTTTTAGGCAATACAAAAATTTAGTTAGTTTTGGTTTTTTGTATTTCAGCGACAATGTGAAATACGCCCTTTTAAAATAGTATTAACGATATGTTGAAGATTTGCGTTCATTCGCCTCAAAAAATATATCAAAACACATTGAGCGCATGGAATAGAACAACAAGACGGATTTGATGGGTTATGGTACCGACAGCGGTTAGTAATTAATTGTGATGCCTGCAACTAGGAAAAGCCGAGCTCAACTAACTAATAGAAAAAAAAAAAAACTATATACAAGCTATTCATTACTGGTCGTGATTCCAATAATCCTAATTATACTAAAAAGCGGGGTACCTTTTTAACAAAATAACAAGATTTTAAACTAATTCAGCTGGCAGCCACGACTTTGAAAACAGAATTTTCTTCGAAATTTTCATTCCTAGAAAATAACAATTTATTTGCCATATCCACCTATTCACAACGTCGCTATAAGCACACATTTTTCAAACCAGTCACAGAAGACAGGATTAAAAATGAATTACAAAAACTATAATAGAACAAGTAAGAAAGTCTAAGTTCGGGCGGAGCCGAACATTAAATACCCGGCGCAAGTATTAAATATGTTTTTTCACCTTTCCGAAACCTTCCGCTAGATGGTAAGCCGGGGTGTATCAATTTTGAGTAAATTAGCGTCCTTCAATTTCGAAATATTGAAGTTTCAAGCATTTCTGAAATTTACCGTTATATGAGAAGCGGCTGTTATTTTGGTCCGATTTCAATAATTTTCAACGTTTTGCTTATATGTGGCAAGCACAATAACCACACCGAGTTTGGTACAAATTGGTAGAACGGTTACCGATATACATATATGTGATCATAAGTGGGCGGTGCCATGCCCATTTTCCAAAATTTTACCATAAACGTATTTCTTGGTAAAGAATTGTTGCAAGTATCAATTTTGAATAAATTAGCTTCAATATTTATTGATTTATCGAAGATTTTGTATTTCTCTAAATTACCGTTATATGGGATGTAAGCGTGGTTATTGTCCGATTTTAAAAAGTTTCGGCGATTTTTTATGCTGTACCAGGGCCAACAACTGTGCCAAGTTTGGAAGAAATTGGTGCAGCGGTTACCAAGATATACACATGTAACCATAAGTGGGCGTGGCTACGCCCATTTTCCAAAAATTTATAATATTCTTATTTTTCGTCTAAAACTTATTATAAATATCAATTTTGAGTGAATTATCTTTAGTAGTTACTAAAATATCGCAGTTTTCGTATTTCTGGAAATTACCGTTATATGGGAAGTGGGCGTGGTTAAAGTCCGATTTCGCCCATTTTCAATACCAACCTACCTTGGATTAAGGGAAACCTACATACCAAATTTCGTTAAGATATCTCAATTTTTGCTCGAGTTATCGTGTACACGGACAGACGGACAGACGGACAGACGGACAGACGGACAGACGGACGGACAGACAGACATGGCTTAATCGATTTCTTTTTTCATCCTGATCATTTATGTATACATTTGTCTATATCTATCTCGATTCGTTTTGGCTGTTACAAACAACCGTTATGTGAACAAAATTAATATACCCTTGTGCACAAGTGCGCTCGGGTATAAAAACGTTGATGACGTAACAGGTTCTCCAAGTTCTGAAACATACAAAAGAATTGGTTCTCTAAACTGGAACACAACGGTGTTGAAACAACGATCTTGCCATGATGCTAGATTGTGAAGATGAAAGTCAGGAGGACACATACGACACTTGCAGCCCCGATGCAATTGTCAAAAAGGAATTATTGCACCGCAATAAAAAAAGAAATATAACTGAAAGTCCTCTCAACTGGTGCAGCGTCAATCGAAAAGAATTTACAATTTTGTCCAAGTTTCAAGTTTGTCGCCTCGAGCGAGTAGTTCCTTAGTGCACAGGTTTGATTTACGACCCGTTAGGAAACAGGCTGCAACCGGACAAGGCGGTAAAATTACTCTTTCTTAAATACAATGTTCCAATTTTTTAATCTAAGTACTAAATAAAAAAACACTATCAAAAATTACTAATTTTTCATTTTTTATTTACCTAAATAACCTAATGATAACCTAATGTACTCACCAAAATTATTTCTTAAAAATATTTGACATCCGCATTCGCATCCGCATCCGCGGATGTTAGCTTTTAAACATCCGCATCCGCATTCGCATCCGCGGATGTCTAAAATTCCACATTCGCAACATCCCTAGTATGTAGGTGCAAATGATGTTAATGTTTCTTATTACCACGTTAATATTTTCTGTTTTCTCTCAGCTGCCGGAAGTAGCGGCGGAGCAAACCAATTTGAGATCTCTTTCTCGCATAGATTGTGATGCTTTCAAATGGAATTAACCGCAGCAAGATCTGGACAGTCAATTGGAATAGAATGCAGCTATTGTCGGCAGCTGCGATAATCACTCAGATTTATGGCGATTGACGCTTTCACGCGCTCTATTTTGTTCCAATTTAGAAAATTGCTTTATTCAACGGCGAAATTAGTTACAAATTAAAGCAATAATACAAAAAATGTTGCTTGCCTCAATAATTTTTTGATGTGTTGTGTTTTTGTAGTGCGTGCCTTGTATTTTTAATTAATCCACATACGCACACAGCCTCGCATACTTAGATACTTATGAGAAAATACAAAGTAGTACAAAGTTTATAAATCGGTTAAATCGATTTTTCGTCATTTGATTTGCTCTAAAAAATCTATACGATTTCGTCTAAAAAATCTATACAATTTTAGAGGCTACAGAAAAATTCAAAAAACTGAAGTTCCAAACTTTTTGCAAGATATCAGAGTCGATGTTGGAGATCGATTTAGTTTTTGACGATTTCTTTCCGCTTCGATTTTTTTTATATCGATTCGAATCGATTCAAGAATGAATTTTTTTTTTGTTTCGATCTGGCATCTGGTATCAATATGAAGTTGCAGGTTGCGTATACGCACAAGCGTACCAGAGTAA